TCATCCGCCCTGGATTCCCTGTCCTATCTGTACCACTGTACATCCTCTGGCTTGCCAGATTTTTAAGGTAGAATTGGGATCATGATAGTGGCAGGGGTGGGCGGGTGGAGGGAGGAAGCATTTAGGAACTAGAGGAAAGTTGTATGTTTCATCATTGCTACACTGTACCTTTACTGGCTCTTGGGAGAGATTTTCTTTTACTTACTTTAGAGTAAGCCCTAAGACTTATTTGAGGAGGCTGGTGGTGCTGATGGCTTTCCCATTGAGACATAACCTCATCCCTTCCTCTGCGTTGTTGTTGAAAGATGCTCAGTGCATGCCAAGCAGGTTCTCAAATGAAAACAACCAAGCTTCTTGCCATCGAGTCAATTGTGATCCCATAAGACTGAGTAGAACTGCTCCTGTGGGTTCCCGAAACTGCAACTCTTAACTGGAGTAGAAAGCCTTATCTTTCACCCAGGGGGAAGCCAGTGGTTTCAAACTGTTGAACTTGTGGTCAGCAGCCCAAAGCATAACCGCTATGCCACCTGGTTTTAGGTCTGAGCAGGTTACAGAAATGAACGAGCCTGTATTCAACGATCTCTTCATCACAACCACCTAGTGGGGAGACAAAACAGTAAAAGCTAAGGTACATGAAATTTTCGAAAGGCACACCACACTCCAATTAGTGGGTGTGTTGTTTGGGGGCTTGTTTGAAGTGTTTAGGAGTTCCCAGGAGAGTCAAGATTGACGCTTCCCAGATATCAATCCCTGTTGTACTCCAGGTCACTCCAGGTCACTCATTCTTATGCTCATTGAATACTTGGCTCTTCATACACATTCCATACTTGGTCTTCTGCTTGTGGAAATAGACTATACAGCTATTATTCCATGGTAGTATAAAGCAGTAGTATAAAATTGCTACCACAATCAGCTTCAAAGCATTCTCTTCCTTCTTGAAGTCCTTGAGATCAGCTCTGCTTTAAGGGCCAAAGATTAATGGGAGAAAGTTACTCCTCAGCAGTTTCTCTGGGTTCGATTTCAACTCCTGATGACCCTGGGCATGTCAGAGTAGAACTGCACCCCACAGTGGTTCAGTGGTTGCTTCTTGGAAGCCAATTGCCTGGCCTTTCTTAAAAGTCGAGAAGCTCTGCTGAAACCTGCTGACATCACAGCAACACCCAAGCCTACACGAGATCTGTGGGTGGGAGTCACCCCTGGGCTTTCACATGGAAGGTGAAAATTCTCTCTCGGGACCACCAGTGCCCTCCTGGAAGGGGTAGTGAGGTAAATAACACAAACTAGAGGTCTCAATGGCTTCATGATGGGAGTCATGGTGGCATAGTGGGCATAGTGGGCAGTCTGTGGGGCCAGGCTGGCAGAGTTCAGTGGTGTCTACGAGGAAGGAGCCCTGGTGGTGTTGCGGGCTATGCACTCAGGTGCGAACCACAAAGTCTTTGATACTAGCCTTCCACTCATTTCCTCGGGAGGAAGACAAGACTTTCTACTCCTGTAAGGGGTTTGAGTCTTGGAAAGCCACGGGGGCAGCTCTGTTCTGCCGGTGCGTCAGAATTGACTTGATGGCAGCAGTATCTACTTTGGAGGAGTTATGTAGGCTCAGAGGCAGAGCCCTCCACCCTGCTGGAGATCTGTGAATACTCAATAGCTTTTAAAAAATAATCTCTCCAAAGTGGGTGCATAAGCAAATG